CCTTCCTTCCTTCCTTCCTTCCTTCCTTCCTTCCTTCCTTCCTTCCTCTCTTTCACTCTTTCTTTCACTCTTTCCTTCTTTCCTTCTTTTTTCTTTTCTTTTTATGCAAATCATACCTTAACCTTAAGAAAAAAATATTTTGCTTTGTGCCTCAAAGTGATGTAAAATGTGACCATAGCTTTTGCTGTGTTTAATGAAAAAGATGTGGACTGTGTCACTTTTGTTGCTGCAAAAAGTGTTAATAAAATGCTATATTTATCCTTTTATATAAAAAAGAGTGCTGTAGTTTCTTGTGATTTTTTTTAGATGCTCTATAACATAGTTGGCTCGTGTTCTACATGCTACAAAATCAATTCTGCTGTCAACACAGAGATGATATTTGAGTCTCAGCTAGGAACTGTGCTGGATACCCAGTGTCCTGCATTACCTGCTCTCTCCTGTGCCCCAGCATAGAAGTGAGGTGAGACAGGCCCCTGTCACTGGGCTCTTGTTCCTCCTCCCATAAGGATTCTTGGAGCAGGTGTGAGGGAGGAAAGAGCCGGAGAATCAGTCTGCCAGCCAACGACACAAACTGGGAAAAATGTATAAGCCTAAGGGCTAGTGTGGATTAGCATTCTCTACAGCAAATGAAAGGCTATCACGGACTGCTGCCCTTGGAATTTGTTTCCTTCCTTGCTCCCGCAGCAAAACTCCTTAACTGAAACATAACACTTTTTGTCCATCTTACAGGAATCAGTGAAATTCAAAAAATTCTACATTAAAAACGTTTTCTTCTAAAAACAGTCCCTGTTCAGGAATTCTCCTGAATTCAGCAGAAGAAGCTAAAAGCATCAAAGAGAACAAAAGGCCACAAAGAGCAGCTAGAACAGTGATGGGCTCCACGCTTCTCACCAGTATGCTACTAGTCATGAGATGCTGAGTCAGGGTTCCTGCTCATTGTCTTGATGGACTATAGTGATGTTGTTATGGAAACATTCTAGAAGATCCACAAGTGGGATAAATAGGGGCTGTAAATGTACTGCTGTGTTTATTAAACCAAGAGGACAGCTCAGAAAATGAAAACTATTTAAGAAAATTAAAACTATTAATCTTAATTTTCAGATTGATTTTACAGATTCTCTATCTTACGGAATTGTTCCAATAGCTTCCTTTCATTAAGCACAGGTAATCTTTTTTTCCTCATTAGCTTGACACCTTTTAATTACTTAGAACAAAGGGAAGACTTTAATCCAGGCACTATACTCTGCCCTGCTCAGCTGTGCACTGTTCCATGGTAACTCAACAACTGCTTTACTTAATAGAACAGAAAGGCAGAAGAAAAATATTAATTGGAATGCTCAGTAAATTGCTTCTAGGAATGAGGAAGGTGTTTTGCAATGTATTTTTAGAATGCTTTCATGAAAACTGTTCATGTCGTAGCTGTTTATCTACCTGGCTCTTCTGTCTTCTGAAAACACATTGTTTATTTTCTTTTTCCCTTCACTTCAAATGCTAAACTATTCTTAAGGTTCTCCACATTCTCTTTCTAGCTGTCTGCTTCTGCTTTGACTCTTTTATTTCCTCTTTAAAATGGAACAAGGAAGGAAGAGAAGCACGCCAGATTTTAAGGTTTTTTCTTCACAGACTCCAATACATAAAAAATATACAGGAAGCGATTATCAGAAACATGTCTGAGAAAGAAGGAAGGAAAATGGAGAAAATAACTGGTTCCTTGCCAAGGTTGTTTAAGTGAAGACAAGCAGTAACAGCTGGATCTATTTTAAGGGCAAAGAAGAATTGAGGAGGCATGACCCTTCATCTTGACTCCTACATTTTTTCTCAGTAAATATGCTTATGCTTCTCCCTTACTACTTCCTAGTTATAGAGAGCATGGCTAAACTATTCAGCCTCTTCTGAACAGTGCTCTTGCTGCCCAGAGGCATCTCCTCTGCACTCAGGTTCACGTACTAGCTCCACAGATGCACTGCACTGGTATGATGCAGTGTTCCTCTTTTGGAACTCTTTCAGTCAAATTACCACTATGAATCAGGATTCACAGTCCCTTGATCATGTTCTGTTAGCTATTTCTCTTCTGTTCCCCTACCTGATACCCTGTGCTTGTATTCTCTCACTATGCTGAATAAAAACAAAGCACTTTTTACTCACACTTTTATTTATCAATCAATTATTTTCTAAGTGAAGAACAGGGCATTAGAGAGATCATGAGAAAATCTGAGTCTAGACGGGGCTAGAATATGCTTCAAATGTTCGTCTTTGTGTTCTCAAACAATCTCATATAGTATTATTACTCAATATTAAAATATCTGTATTCATATTGGTAAGATCCCTTCTGTCAATGTATATTTTTTCTTGCAGAGATAAAGCTGTCTTAAAATGCACTTTGCTTTCAGATGTGATCAGGAAATTCAATTCACCCAATTTCATAAAAACACTTTCCTGTGGGGAAAAAGAAATCCTCAAGGTAAAGGTTGAATTGTAGTGACAAAAGAATATCTGCAAATTTGAATGAAGACCTCTTTCAGCATGAAGCTAAGCGTAGGAATGAATGTGGAAGTCAGAATAAATGTCACAGTTCAAAACTGTAATGTTGAAAAGATAACATCACAGTCTTTGTTGCTGCCTCTGAAAGATAAAATGCTCTGCTCCTTTTAGGATGAGCTGCTAAGGAGTGTGAAGGCTGGTCTAGATTAACTATTTAACAGCAACTGCTTTTGCTCATTTTATGAATTTGTCTGCATTTATTTGCGTGAATAATTTTGTTGCACTGGAAGTTTTAGAGATATTTTAATTTTATATCAACGTATATCCAATCTGATCTAATTAATGTGTTTGATTTTATTATTCTAGATTTGTTTGGCACTCTTTCACCCTGTTGTAGCACAAAGCAAGACAAAGAATGAAATGTGTTACGTGTGTTCGCATGTACAACTACTGAAGCCTACATCATGAGTTATATTGAGGTCAAGTGCTTTGACAGGATCTTCAGTATTTGTTGTTACAAAATTATTGTTGAGAAATGCATCTTTGGAAGGATTTTAACACTAGAAATATATTATCCTTACAATTTTTGCTTTAGATGAAGTTGCATTCTCTCATTCTTCCAAATGCTCTGGGTAAGGAATAAGAGAACAACACAAAATATGTTTCTGAGCAGCACTCCAATCTCTGGCAAGCTCATGTCTATAAAAAAGTAAGAACACAAGAGTATACTTCTATTTCTCCATAAGAGAAGCATTAAGAAAGGTAGATTTGGTATTGAACATTAAACGCAAATTACAGGAAATAAACTTCAGGGTAAACTTATAGAAGAGCTGCCAAATTTTCTAGATTTGCTTATGACAGTTGTGAATAGA